CCATCAAATACTTTGTCAACTCACTTAAGTCCCAATCATAAATGGACTTGTGCATATCAACAAACTATGAATCCTGAAGAAGAAAAGAAAATACTGAAAATGAGTCTGAGGTTGGGTTCATGATGTCAATCGCTGAAGAAGAAAATGGCGAACAACCCTCAGTTTGAATCTGCAGACAAGCCTTAACATCTGCTAGGAACAACAGGATCTAGTCTGTGCAGAACTGGAAATCCACGTGTTTTGATACACAGTGTCCCTCATGTCCTGGAGCATGCCTGAATAATCTCACAAACTGCAGGTGGCGCCTGCTGGGCTGCAGCTTATGTGTGTAACGTTAAAAGCCTTACTCAAGTTTAAATCATGTAAAACACTGCAAAAACTACCCATTCTGTACTTGTTAACTGTTGCACTTGTTGAGATGCTGAAAGCAATAACGGCCTGTGATTAGCTCAGGGTAGTTACAGCTCACAGGGAGATCAAACAGAAACAGGATCGAAGAAATCAGAAAACAAAACAAACAAACTTGACTTTATATGTAAAGATGCGCCACACGCTGTGTGTAACGGTCTCGGTGAATAACTTCACAACAGCGCAGTGAGTGGGACGGCAACAGCAAAAGAACAATCTGTGCGTTGCAGTGCAGTCGGTCAAACTCATTGTCTTTCAAATTTCTGAGCAGTGACCTCAGGCTTCAGCAAACATGAGCTCCTGTACGAGTCATGCAACACACTGTGGGATGAAACTCATCTCTATTGATTCATAAACAACCACAACAAATCCATCTGAATGTGTAGACAGACAAAGACACACACCCACAGCAGCATCAAAGAAACCTTTTCATGGCATCTAGGAAAAGATTCTCCATAGCAGAAGATCTTCTCATTTTCCATCAAACATAACGCATCTTAATTCTTCAGTTTTCTGGATAATACAGTGCGTCTGCTTCCTAAATGAATCCAAACACAACGGCCAATGTAGCTCTTAGATTATAGGCCAGCTTCATTATGTCTGCTGAGCTACTAAACTCCTTTATACCGAACATGAATTTGATGAAACATCACAGTTCATGCACAATGTAAAAGATTAAAAGATCATCCATATAAACGTGTCATACAGTATGTAGGTCACTTTTACTTAAGTAAAATAAATAATCCTGGGATATGGAATAGATTTAAATTAATCAGCTTTTATAGTGGAGGGAAAAGGCATGTGGTTATGAGTATTAAAAAAAAAATGAACCACAGTCAGATCAAAAGGTAAGACTTATAATAACACAGTATTGGGGAAAAACATCAGTTTTATAACAATGTGACTTCAGTAATTCTAACAGCATTTCATGGCATATAATTAATATATCAAAAATATTTGTAATATTTTGCCATGAGAACCACTTCAATATCACAGCTGGCAAGAAGAGAAGCTTGGTTCGATTACTTAATATTAGAGCAGGTGAAATCAGTCAATTGATTTATGATCTGATTGTCAAAACCTAACTGAGCTGATTAACTGTTTACTGTAACTTTTAATTTTAACTACTTAAAACAACACATTTTTCCTGCACATTCAAATGTGTATTCTGCTACAGTGAATTCACTTGCTTTCTGTTTGTTCTAGAAAACAATTAGGATTAACCTAGCAAATATTATAATGATCGATCATGAATAAAGGGGCCAATTAATCGAGCATTAAAGCAATCCGAGGCGCAGTGGAGATGTCTTTTTTTTTTTTATAAACTAATGATATTGTTTTGAATAAATCTATAGTCTACCTGTCAAATAAATATACAAAGTCCACGCTTTACATCGGGACAATAAGTAGGTGCCTAAGTTAAATCAGGCATGTACCAAATAAAAACGCCTGAGTCAAATGTAGCGTGTCCTACAGCAGCGCTTGTTACACTGCATCACAAATAATTTCAGTCTCAAACGTGAAATTTCAGAAATTAATCAGCTTTGTTGTAACTTTTATATTCCTATTATGTAATCAGTCCAGGCAAGCACACGCATTAGGACACGAACAGTAAACCCACTCACTCACCCTCTCTCTCCCTCCCTCTCTCCCTCACACACACACCCACACACACACACACACACACGCGCGCACACACACGTCTTTTTTTCACCGTCTATTTTCTATTGATCACTCACCGGCCTTCCCCTCCTCTTTCTCGGACCTCATGTCCTTCTCGGCACAGGCTATGCTCGGCTCCACTGTCAGCCTCGGTGTGAGCTCTCATAGCAGATTTAAAAAATAATAATTAAACGCACACCTATGCGTCCCGGCCAGTGCACACACAGACCATTCAAACCTCACATACAAACACACACACGCACACTGCGCTGCCGGTCCGGCCGCTCCCAGCTCTGCTTTCTGTGGCTCCACCCAAACAGGTTACCAGGAACTCATCCCCTGAGAGAAACTCGCTACCTTTCCTGCCCCCTTTCTTACCAAACGAGCCTCTTTCTCTGTGTACCTGCGTAACGAGGTGTCCACGGGCAACTAGGACAACATTCACCCACGCCCACTACCGCTTTTCATTCCCCCCCTCCGTCCCGCCTCCTACACACGTGTGGGAGGGTGGAGGGGGCGGGGAATACAAACTGCACCAAGGCCCTCAGGTAATGAGCCAGGTGAGTCAGTGGCGTTCTCACCCCACCTGATGGCCGAGAACACTGTGAAGCGTGTGCTTTTACACTCCACCAGCTGAACGCAAGAGGATACACCCCTCTGTGAAAGCTATGCACTCTCTGTGGGCCTCTACATGAGTGTACAGTGCTCACTTCCTGGATGCGAATGTGTGTTTTGGCCATAGAAAGGAAAACAAATCCCCCTCCAAACACAGCCAAATAAACTTCAGTATAAAGCGCTTTAAAGAGGAGAAAAAGGACCACAACAGTGGCGAATTACTTCAAACTAAACCGCCTTACCTCTTCACAGTGAGATTAGAACATTAGTATGAGCAATGCACCTTATCATTAACCCGCCGGGGATGGGGTTGGTCTTTGCCCAGTGCTGAGTAAGGACAGACTGTGCCACGTTAGATAGGAACTGGTGATGTGTTTGAACAGATTAATAATAAATAAGGCGAAGGCTGGTCCAGTTTTCTTCTCGAGCCTCTTCAGGCTCAAAACCCAAAGGCAGGTACAGTGAGGTGATTTGAAGAAAAGAGACAGGACTGTACCTGAATTAATTCAGCCTAAAGGGCCCACTTAGATAGAAACCTTTCTTTTCTTTTTTTTAAGTTTATGAGCACCTGAGCAACATAACTAGCATACTAAAGTGTAAGCATAATATATTTGTGTGTGTAGGAGTGTTTGTATGTCACAGAAACTTCAGTTAAATCTCTTGCATGTAAAGATGTGACAGCAGTTCAGAGCAGCTGCGCCGTTTGTCCCGGCTGTCAGAGGTTGATGCTTAGCTTTTTAACTCCGTCCAAAGATCAAATGTGGTCTAACCAGATACTTGTCACATGAGGCAATGGATCTGTCAGTCACGCACTGACACCTCAAGGATTACTGCCAGGCTCATTTTCTCTGTCCGATCACAGCTCAGAGTAAAGATTGCAACAGTAACTCTTCATTGGCAGTTATTGTAAGACATCAAAAAGAAGGAGATTTATCTCGTTGTAGAGAAAGGCAGATGCTGCAAATGCTTTGGGTTTAGGTTATGGCCTGCATCATAAATCCTTGATTTAGTTTATTAGAACTTTTGAATGATTCAATCTAATAATAATGTAATTATATTCACTTAGATTAATATTTGAACCTTTCTATATCTGTTTTCTTTGTCTTTATTTAAATAGATACTTTTTTTTCGTCAAATGTAGCACTTCATAAATCTAAAGTCATGGTGCAGGTACACCAAATTTTATTCACAGTATTGCTTTTATTCTGACACCTCTTCAGTCTGAAATTTTCCACTCCTCTGTGCCCTTATTCTTCAGCTCAACTCCCTGTATCACTATGCCATTCATTTGCTTTGCTAACATTAAAGCAAGAAGAAATCCTAAAAGCCTTCTTTTTCTACCCTCCACTCTCCTCTGCTGTATTGCTCTCCCTTCTCTCAGCAGAGAACGGTTGACCTGTCAGTCTGCATTATCAGCACTGGGGAGTGCTGATAGAGAGTTAGGATGAAGTGGGATTAAAATATTAGCTTGCCTACAGAAAGTACAGGCTGTATAAAAAAAGGAGGAAAGGAAGAAAACTCAAAACAACAATAGGCAGTGGGAGAAGCAGGAGAATGAGTGGCCGAGGTCACTAGAGCTCATTGTCGATGGAAATGACATCAGACTTGTCGAACAGCAACCGAGCATGTTCTTCCAGCTTTGAGGCTTTAGACTTGGAAGAAAAGACCGGAATTAAAATTATAGTGCAGACTTTGTGGTTTGAGAACAAGCGTGGACAATAGTAGTCATTAGAATGAGAAACACTAACGGACACAAGCAACAATGGACATACAATCAATTGACCTCATGATCGATACCTTTTGTGCCACGGATACACACTGGTCACTTTGACTGCTGCACTTCAGAAACTGACAGAGGCTATTATCCTGAGCTGCACACTGACAGCAGTGATTGGAGGAGGTAAGTGGCCACGCAGCCCTGCAATAACTGCATGCTGCATTGTAACTCTAGCGCAATAAACATCAATAAAGTTCAATTCAGATTAAAGGGTTTGCAGAGTGAAATGTTTTTCTCTGAGAATCAATCAAGTCTCCCAATTTGGTGTCAGCACTTCTGTGTCTTGCATTGGGAAACAAAAACACGTTATTTAGCTGCGATAAATCAAAGGCTGTAATGGATGGTAAAGCCCTCGTGGTCAGGCACCAAGTGCTGTTATCTGACTGTTCTCACCCCCCTCTAGCCTGTGCAGCGTTTTGCTCAGCTTTAACTCCCCATTGCACCCACAAGTCAAGCTGACAGCTCTGTGTCTGTCTTCACCATGCTCACTTCCTGCTGTCACCAAGGCAACATCTTGTCTTTTGGAGCGCCGCAGTACCTTTGCCTAGCGAGCAGTCTGGTGTGCCAAAGTCCATCAGGCTGGATATTTCTGTTGGGTAGCACATGTCTGTCACCACTGTCTTCTGCCTGTGACGCATGGATGGATCTGTAGGAGAAAGAGATGAAGTTAGATTTTACTGAAATGGATCAATCAAAAAAAAAAAAAGAAGAGCTGTATGGCTCTTGTTCTGGAGCGCACACACACACGCAGAGCAGGCATCAAAGCACAAATGTGAGGAGCTGGGGTCGAGGTGGGTTGCAAAGTGGCTTGCCAAACACATGTAAGTATTTTAAAGAAACTCAAATACCGCCTCTTTTATGAAATTTGATATTGGAAAGTCATAGTACTTTACCATGCAGCTGCTGATAATTTGCTGTTATCATCCCAACTGCTGGGATTGTGTTAAGCTCAAATTTTGGACATTTTCATTTTTCACGTGCAAAACTTTATCCTACACAGTTAAGCACATTTACACCAACAGCCAATTTAGAAATAACAATTAACCTAACATGCATGTCTTTGTTCTGTGGGAGGAAGCCTGCAGGAAACCTACACAGTCAGAGGAGCTCAAATTCCATAGAAAAAAGGCCCAGAGATTAGGAAATTTAAACCCTTTCTTGATGTGGGATGTCAAAGCTAACCAACGCACCTCCGTGCCACCCATGGCGTTTTTAGTCAGCAAAACTCTCTGCTATAAAATGTTGATGTAACGCTGTGTGACTGCCTGTTAAATCAGGGAATGCAATCTGACGTCTGAATTTTACACATGTAAAAAATACGAGTCTCTCTCTTACAGATCACTGCAGTTGTGATCCACAAAGCAATTACACCACAGAATGAGTATCAGTAATGATGCATGGTCGTTGAATTAATACTAAAATTCCACCACCCCCTGCCTATCTGAGTAAGGCCAGAAGACACTGTGCCTGTGCAATGATCTTTTGTGCTCCATACATTGATAAAAGGTTAATGGAACTGCTCAAGGAGGACTCCTGTGAATTGCAGTGAAAGAGACCCATCTGCTCATCATTCCTCCCCTTTTCAAAGAAAAATGGTTTGAGGGAGCACATGTTTGTTTTTAAGTCATCAAAATTCTCCAGTTCACTGCCTTTCTCCCAGCTTCTTCTTCCTTTTTTTCCTGGTCCACCTCTGGTGTCTAAAGCATGAAATGCCATAAAAAATGACAATGATTATGGGAGTCAGCAATATCCTCACTGTACCAGGGAGTGATTAAGTAGAGCATGATGGTGGGCTTATGATCCCACAGTCGGTTTAATATCTTTAAACCTGCTTACCTTATACATTCTATGGGGCTATGAATATAGGTTCTCCTCTCAGATACAGAGACATACAAATGCATTTTCTAAATTTTGACATTTTCCTTCAGTACAGCAATAACTGTCTACCCTCAGGTGCCTTCTACAGTAGAACCACGTGCACATCCACTCTTCTTCAACAATGATCTCACTCTTTCCCTCCTAATCTGCATATTTTGACAGTTTTAATTTCACAACCCTATAGTATTTATCTGCATTATTGACCTTCCCCTCCTTTCTCCCCCTCCTCCATCCCCCTGACCCGTCAATAACAGTTTAGGTGTTGTTAAGCTGACCTTTTCTTTGATTTTTAATATGGAGATTGGAGAGCAGGCGGGCTCATGCTCGACCGCTCTTACCACAAACATTAATGAGAGGGATAGATAGAGGGAAAAGATGAAGCTGCTGGCGATGAGACAAATACATAATCTATTCCCATACTTATTTAAGGGTGTTGGCTCTCTGTACTCTTTTAAAAAGATGTCAATACCTCTGCTGGAGCCATAGTATCTCCCTATTTTATTATCATTAACTGTTACGCAGTATTTAAATATCTGCCTTCTCCATGTGCATGTTTCATTTTTTGGATATTTGTCTTGGTACTTTATTATATTTTCTGAGCTTTTTACTGATTTAAGTGACCACCAATTCCACAGGGGCTTTGGTTAGGTACAGTTCATTGTAATTCAAGGGAACACACCCTGTCATGGCCCAAATGAGCACCACAGAGAGCGATTATCAAATCACTTCATTTCGGCCTGGCTGGACCTCAGCTGTGAGAGGTTAAAGGCTATGGAAATTAAAGGGTCCAGCTGCGCAGGTCCACCTGTAGCCTGGCTGCCCAAGCCGAGGCCACAAGGGACAGTCTGTGCTGCCCTTTGTGATCTCGGCCAATTATGTCTTATAAAGTTAATGTTTTTGTCACTCACATCTCTCAGTTAAATGTGATGATACCATTTTGTCATTAGGCCCAATGTTACTATTAAAAAGGTAGAGTATTTTAATAACATTTAAACTAAAGAAAAACGTGTATTTGTTGCTTCAAAACCTGTGACAAAGAGAGAGAACTGTTTTGTTGTTGTTTGTTATTTTTGGACTGGGAGCTAAGCTTCTCTCTCTGGTCGACTGAATATACTGACATTTTTTACACCGACGAATGGACTGCAAACATCACTGCATATTTAAAATATAGATTTCCTGATTTTAAACACTGCGCATCTGATCTAATCTAACTACGCGTCCACTAGAATTACAGTCAACACTCTACTGAAGTTACACGTAGTCTCCAAACTTCACAAATCAACAAAAATATTGGGTTGCTGTCAAAGGAAGAGCACAGGCTGTGCTCATGACGTGCCTTCCAGGACCTTGAAAATGAAGCAGCTAAGTGGAATTTATCCATTAATTCACTACTTATGTTGATCAGGGTTGCAAGGGAAATGGAGCCTGTCCCAGCTGCAAGAGGCAAGGCACTCCCTGGACAGGTGACCAGTCTGCCGCAGGGCTAGCACAGAGAGAGCGAGAGAAAGACAACCATTAGCACTCAAATTCACACCTATGGGCTAATTTAGGATCACCTACACCAGCCCACACTCCTTCTACTGTGAGGCAACAGTACTAACCACCATGTTGGCAAAAAGATTCAATATTAATCACTATTTTCTCTTTATTATTGTAGGGCCTTTACCTTACACTAT